GGTCTTGCTATTTGCAAGCTCGTCTTTAAAAACGTATCGTGAATGCGCGTCCTCGGGGAAATCCTATTTTACCCATCTTATTTACACGCGATGCCAGCGGAAAGAATAATTAGCGGCGCGAAAATAGTTTCGCAATCGCGCGCGTCCAACACCGTGACGTGAACCTTGCTTTCGTGGGTCCCATCAAAGGACTCGACGTTTGTCACCGAGGTCGTCGTTGTCGTCGTCGTCGTCGTCGTCGTCGTCGTCTCCACTGTCGGACGTCATCCGACCGATTTTATTTCCGTCGCGTCGGAAGGGTTTCGAAAGCCCCTTCTTGTCCCTGTTGCAGCGCGATGGGTCAACCGACGCGCGAAATGCACTCCGAAATCCCCGAAAATCTATTTTCCGCCGGGCGCGCCCACGCTTATCTCTCGCGCTGATATTTCCGCGCGTGCAATGCCGCGTATTTTTATCCGTGGCCCACATCCCCGCGGGAGAAGAAGCGTCGCTTCATTATTATCGGCCTGTCGCGTAATCGGGGGAACGAGGAAGAAAGAAATGCGCGAGAAGACGAGGAGAGACCAGCGCTCGTTTCGTCCGCGTCAAAGGCTATTTCGAACTGCAAGAAATATAATGTAATCGCGGTCTAACATACAATTTAAGAGAAAACTAACAACGGACAAGAGGTTAGAACAGGTCGACACACCTGTGGGAAATATGAGACGAGTCAAATTGATCAAACGTCTGAATCGCGATGAGATAGGTAAGCGAGCAAGAGAGGATGGTTTTTTAAAGGAGAATAAAGGAACGATCTCGAAGACGTTGAGGGCTCTTCGGTTCCAGTCTGCAAGGATAACGAAGTCGCCACTTTTGTTTGGTCTCGTTTTGATTTGAGTTAGGCAGTAATATAGTTTAAGATTAATAAGATTAATAAGATTATTTTAAGATTGGTTTCCGGATTCAATTTACGTTGTAGAATTCAGCTAGTCTAGGAAAGGAATTAAATCTATTGTAACTTTCTCGTATGGTAACGTATTTTCAAAATTAAATATACAGAGTGTCCGTTAACTCACAAAGAAGCCGCGGTGTACAGGTAGATTAGGTTGAACTGAATAAAATTTCTTCTACCATTTTACGAACAACGACATTCTAAGTTACTAATAAAATTCTAAGTTATTAATCAAAGAAGATTTGTGAATGATTACGCGCCATACGGTAGATAAGCTGTGATAGCGACGTCTGTTTGATGCTGTTTGTTTATATATTAGATTAAACTGAACAAAAAAGTCCTTTCTTTACCATTTTGCAAATGACCATGTAGATATTTAGTTATTAAGTAAAGAAGATTGATGCATTAATGCACACAACTATATCCTAATCTTTTTTAATTAATAACTAAATATCGATATGATTTGCAAAATAATAGAGGACTTTTTGTTCTGACCTAATATACACGGAAAAAAAATTTCAGTTGGTGCAACCGAATAAGAACCAATTGAAAATTAAGTGATTGGAAACAATATCTCTGTTATGAAAACTAATATTTCTGTTGTCGCAACCGAAATTATTCGTCTGAACATTCAGCAACATTAGAAATCGATTGAGGCAACAAAATTGATTATATAGAAGCCTCAAAAAGGCATTTTTCCATTCTTACAGCCGAGTTTTCGTCTGATTCCTGAGCAACCAAAAATTCGATTGAATCAACGGAATTGTTTTTTCCGTATACAAAGACACAGCGGCAGAAGTCGCCATCACGTCTAATCTACCGTATGGCGCGTGATCATTCACGAATCTTCTTGAACTGATAACTTAAAATTATACGTGATTGTTCACAAAATAGTAGAGGAATTTTTTGTTCAGTTTGACCCAATTTAGCTGTACACCGTGGCTTCTCCATGAGTTACAGGACACCCTCTATATCTACAGCCTCATTCACTTTAAAGTTAGATAATTCATTATCTTCTAACATCCTGACATTTCATATTCTCGATAAAATTATGAGCAATTAAGTGGAGATCTCACGATAGATCTTACAGAACCTATTTCGAACGTTAGGCATTCGTGTTCGCGCCACGCCGCGTTCAGAAAAAGATCGTTCTATATAGTAAATTATTCCTCTTTTTTCTTCGTTTTCTTCACGACGCCCATCGTAACCAACGAGGACTCGCCGAGTTTCCCATAAAGCGAAATTTACCGCGGCGATAAAAGCGCGTGATCTGCGTTCTGAATGCCGGGTTTGTTGCGTTCGCCTCGAAGCTTCTTGAGATGAATTAGGAACACGGGGGCCACCGGCCTGGTTTGATCGCGCCAGTTCATCAGACGAGTCGTTGAGCGTAATAGCGGCGCATAAGTCGGCGTAATAGCGAGTCGCAGGTTTTAGGGGGCGAGATGAAATTTAAATTCAGGAGGCACGATTAGACGCGGTAATGCCTTTTATCTTTGAGGGCCCTCGAAAATACAGATTGTGTCCAGCAATTTTTTTCTGAAAAAACTCTGCGACATATCTCTGCTTGTGACTTGGCATATTTATCGTGTAAAGTATTTAAGTGTAAAGAAATATTGAAAATATAATAATAGTATAGAGACGCGCGAATACGATGAAGGTTGTTGAAATTTTGGAAAAACAATCGAAAACGTTCGAGATGCGTCTTGTAATGATATCCATTCAATCGATCAACATCTTTGTTTGTCGAAAGCAATTATTAATTAGAAAGATATTGCAGATAATTATTTTGCATTACGTACGAAATCTACGAGGCTGGATACGACTGTCGCCGACTTCTTCGCGACATTCTGATTTCACCTGGCGGTCAGCGTAATTCGCCTCTTGCGGCCACGGCGATGTGTAGGTCGCGGGAGAAGCAGCATTTCCGAGGAAACAAATAAATTATGCCGACGCGGCACATACATCGTTGAGAGAGACACACGTAATCGACGGCACGACTTCCGTCGGAGAGCCTCGAGTTTCTCGATCTGTCGGGCTTTCGGAAATCGCTTAATTCTTGTTGCACCGGCCCGGCTCGACCCCTCGCGGTTATCGGGCGATAATTTCTTTTACTCGTTACCCGACGGAGGCAGCGGGAAGTGCTTGACTCGTGACCCGAGGACCCCGTCGGCGATTACGAGCGGTAAATGCGGCGTGCCGGCGCGCGAGCGAGTGTGGAACACTTTCTACAATTAATTATGGCGCACGGGCGCTCTTTTCCAACGGCGGTCCTTAATTTGTCGCGTACAAATTGATTATGAAGCGTCCTGCCGTCACCTCCTCGCCGTGGCCGGCGTCCCTCGTTGAACACTCGCCGGGGTCTTCTCGTGACGCTCCTCTCCCCGCATGGACGTCGCGTCGGACAACGCGTGAGTCACACACACGTCCCTTCGAGTCACTTTGTTAGGCCGCTGTAATCCCGCGGAAGGAACGCCGCGACTTTTACGGATTACACACGGCCAGTTTATTATCGTTGCTCGCCGCGTTGCTCGTCCGAATCGCACCTTGCACGCGACGTAGGATTATCCCACGTGCGAAATAAATGGGCTCGGGTCTTTGCTCGCGGCGCGTCTCCGAAGCGGAATCTCAGACGGAATTGTGTTTCGGGATACAGAAGTCGATCCGAATCGTCCTCGTGCCGACTGATGAATCACGCTTGTGACTCGTCGTGTTTTTGCGAAGAAAGTCGATCGAAACACACAGGGTCATTTGGAGGCAATCGAAAAAGTGTCTAATTGATAAGTGTAAAAAATATAACAGTTTATGAAATATTTCTTTACAAATTCGCACTGGGGACTAATTAAATTCTCGTCCCACGCCCTCTTCTCCGTCCTGACAAAGCAAACTGAAATGTTCCCCGACCTGGAAGCCAAATTCAGTAATTGGAATATAATTTGATATCACCTTATTATGATAATTTATTATATTGATATGATTATATAATAATTGATCACGTATATACACGATAATTAATTAATATTAATATGATAACATGATTTGACGATAATTGTAGGAGACATCGGATCTAGTTAGCTCAAGGGATATATCGGCCATGTGCTTTGTTTATGTATTTAACAGGGAAAACGAAATCGTAAATTTTTTTTTAATACAGGTACTTTTCCCTAAGTTTTATTATAATTTTATTAAAATTGGAAGATATAATAATTAAAGAGCAGGAAAAACATTGAAGAGCAGCCGAATATATTTTTGACCATCTCGCAATTTGGTATTAATATTCTTCATTGTGAGTGAATTTGTATATTGACTGGAATGAGGAATTTCCTGCAAGTGCATGTGTCAAGTATAGCATCGTTGGCATCTTTGTTCATTTTTTTAACCACCAAAGCGAATTTGTAAAAAAATATTTTATAAACTGTTATTAACTGTTGTTAAATATTTTTTACACTTATCAATTAGACACTTTTTCGATTGCCTCCAACTGACCCCACGTGTTATTGTTTCGATCGACTTTCTTCGCAAAAACACGACGAGTCACAAGCGTGATTCAATAAAAGCAATGTTCATTAACGAAATTAACGAAATTGAGCGGACAAACGAGATGAAATTGGCCACTATTTAAAGGTTGGCAGAGCGTTGTAGAGACCTGATTCTGGAATTACTAATTAGGACACATGTTTCATATATGGCCTTCTTACTCTGAGTTGCTAGCCAACTTGAACTTCGAACAACACGTTGCAGTATGTTCATATTTTGGTTATTACAGAAGAAAATATGCGGTTTATGAGTTCATCGCGGCCATAAAAACGTAGAGGAAGATTGTCTTTAACATATTTGTATAATAAATCACGTAACTGGTTATCTCAGAAGTTTGTAACTTTTGAAAAACTTCTGAATAGAGAAGAATAACTTCTGAGAAGTCATAAATTCTGAAAAATGTGCCATCTAACCCCGGTCTCTTGTAATCCATAACTATTCTCCGCATATTAATAAGTTGATTGTAAACTAAATTCTTGCATTAAGATTTGCTTCAACTCGAATCACGTTGGCATCTTTGCTCATCTTTTATTAGGGTGGCGGCGGTGGTGGTGGCGGCGGCGGCGGCGGCGGCGGCGACGAATCCGACGAAGACACGCAGTGTGCGCTGAGCGAGAACTGGACTTTCGAGAAGAAGACGAGGCGTTGGTCGCGCATAGTCGACGTTTCGCAAGCGAACGTCGAGAGGCTACAGGCGATCGCCGGCCAAAACGCCGCGTCCGAGGAGGATTCTCTGGAGGACCGTCTGGAGGCTGAAGAGGCGGAGGACACCATGCTAGAGAACCTTCGATACGGCAGCTTGCCACCAGGCACTCTTCCCGACGAGATCGGCCCGCGATTTCGCAGGACCGGCTCAGAGAGGCTGCGAGACGGCGCGAAGGCGTTCCTGAGACGCGTGGAGTCCCTGAAATCGCGGCGACGAAAGCGTCAGAATCGCGACGGAGTCGTGATCAGCGGCCCGCAGGTGCTCGACGTGATGTCCATGCAGCAGAAGATGAAGGAGCTGAACTGCGTGGACGTATCACCTACGGGACCAGCACCGATATCCTTTACGGACCTCTTGACGGTCTCTACTCTTCCGGTTCCTGGCTCGCCAGTCACCTTGCCGGCTTCTCCTTACCATCTACCACCGTCGCCGCTGGCAAACGCGCCTAGTCCTTTCGGCGATGACTCCTCCAGCTACTGTTCTGACGGCTCGCAGGGTGGTGGACCAACACCCACGCCAACTCGCACAAAACTGAACCGCGCGCGTAGGTTCCTTCATCGTGGTCGTGAGGATCAAGGTGCGTTGAGCGACTCCGAGTGTCAGCCGACCAACTGGCGGCATCGGTACTTCCGCGACGCCAACAGCAACCACGCGAAGGTGTTGGAGTACGTGAATGCACACTCCCAGAGTTCGAAAGAATCGTCAGGGAAGAACCCGCAAATTAACAGCCGTGGTGGTAGCTTGAACCTCGGCAAAGAGTCGCAGAGGTACCGTGACAAGCTTGCCCAAGGTCAAGAGCGAGGGTATAAAGACGACAAGGTGGCGTCCTTGAAGCGGGAGGAGAAGTTGCATAAGAGCTTTCGACATCGCGACGACTCCTACAGGGACGGCAAGTCCAGGGAAGTGACGGTGTATCGGGAGAAGTCCCGATCCAGGAGCTCGGAGCTAGCGGGTAGCCAAGAAAGTGGCTCCACTGTGGCCAGCAGAGACTCCGATCAGGAGGAAGAGTCCCCCAGACACAAGGGTACCGTTGTCAGGTGGCACAGCTTCCAGAGGGGATCACTTTACCCCGAACCCTTGGATCCGTTATGTCCTCGAGCGATGGCTTCTATGTCTTGCGGGCAGCTGTTGGTCCTGAGGAAACTGGCGCTGCTGAAACTCACGGCTTGCATGGAACGGTACTGTCCGACTCACCGCACCGGTTGGAACTGGGAGCTACCCAAGTTCATCAGGAAGATCAAGACGCCGGATTACAAGGACAAGACTGTGTTCGGAGTGCCGTTGTTGCTGTCCCTGCAGAGAACCGGTCAAGCTTTACCCAAGTGTATTCAGATCGCCTTGAGGTGGCTGAGGGCGAACGCTCTGGACCAGGTGGGTATCTTCCGGAAAAGCGGCGTCAAGTCGAGGATACAGAAGCTCAAAGTCATGACGGAGACTCAGGGTGACAATATCAACTTCGACGGGCAACAGGCGTTCGACGTTGCCGACCTCGTCAAGCAGTATTTCAGGGAGCTGCCGGAGGCCCTTCTGACGAACAAGCTCTCGGAAACGTTCATCGCCATCTTCCAACGTGAGTTCATTGTGTTAAGTTTTTTAGCGCTACATGGACCGCAGAGCGGAGAAACGTGATCTTGCAAACAAATCCATTCCTCTCACAGATGTACCGGCGGATTTACGACCCGACGCCGTGCAGTGCGTCTTGTTGCTGCTGCCGGATGAGCATCGCGAGGCACTGGAGACGCTACTCGACTTCCTCAACCATGTCGCCAACAACTCGCCCTACAACCAAATGACAGCCTCGAATCTGGCCGTATGTCTGGCACCGAGCCTGTTCCACTTCAACCACAGCAACACGAGCGTGACCAACAGGTCGAGCAGCGTGTCGCCACGTAGGCGAAAGACCGTGGGCATTCCCGATCAGCGGGAACTGTCTGAAAACAAAGCCGCTCACGACTGTCTTCTGTATCTGGTCAAGATGCATCGTGAATTATTCATGGTGAGTGCCGAAGCCGAAGTCATTCGTCGATCGCGATCGCGCGCTCACTTGCTCGCTCGCTCGAGTCTGGATCGAGCGAGTTTTCACACGTGAGAAGAGCCCCCGGCTCACTCACGCTCCTTCTGGTACTTTCAGGTCTCGTCGGACATGTTGACGCAGTGTCACTTCAATTACATGGAGGAGAGCATTCCGGTCGCGCTGGAAGAGCTCGGCTCGGAACTCAAGCAGGACTGGAGGGGTTACTTGTACGCTTGCACCACGGCGTTGCTGAAGGAAGCGCGAGAAAAGTGAGTACACGCCGTCATTGTGTCTGTCCGTTTAGCCGTGAAAGCCCGGGAATAATTACAAGGTAGATGGATGGAGGGATTTCATTCAGGATCTAGATTATGTCGCGAGTAAATAGACTAGATATGAAATTACAAAACAAGCTGTGACGCACGTAGCTGCACGAGACAGGCAAATAAGACGAGTGAACCAACAGGATGCGCTAAATGACGACCGCGGTTCTGTTCCAGCAGAAGTCGCGGTTGGGTCACGGTGAACAATCCTGCCGACAGCACCGTAGAGATGGCATATAAAAAGGTGGGCGACGGACATCCGCTTCGTCTCTGGCGAGTGTCGACGGAGGTCGAGGCTCCGCCGAACGAGCTGCTGCATCGTGTGCTAAGAGAGAGGCACATCTGGGACCCGCAGCTTTTGAAGTACAGGCTGGTGAACAAATTGGACACCAATGTGGAGGTCTTTCAATACGCCACCGGGAACATGAGCCCGTTGCCCGCCAGAGATTATTGCGTATTAAGGTGAGTCGACGAGGTGTTTCTCCACTTAAATGTTTTATGTATAAATGAGCGATTTTTTAACTTTCGGACAACACAACACAATAAATTTGTTGAGTGGATGTGTCTGATGTAATTTGTTCGGCTCTTTGAGTAATATAATCGGTCCCTGTGTAGATCCTGGCGGAACGACCTTCCCAAAGGTGCTTGCGTCATCGTCGAAACATCCGTGGAACACCCAGACGCTCCTGTTATGCTCGGCGGGACTCGCGGCATCGTTTTGGCTTCTCGTTATCTTATCGAGCCCTGCGGCAGCGGCAAATCCCGCATTATGCATTTATCCAGAGTCGACACGAAGTAAGTAAATATCATATATTCTCTTCTCTAGCGGCGCGCACATTCCAACTTCTTGAATTATTAAAAAAAACAAATTAGGGCAAATGTGAGCTAACGCCAACGGTATAAGGCGATTTAACGGTTAAAATTACATCGAATATATTACATCGAGATATATTTAAACGTTTCAGTCCATCGTTCGGACTCTCTTCAGTAACAGAAGATTACAAATAACACTTATTATAGATAATTTTGAGTATTACAAATAGTTGTATGAGTGGAAGCTTCAACTCTCTGTGTAACCTTTTAAACATTGATAGATTAAAAGAAATTTAGTGAAACTGGGTTTTAATAAGAAATGGTTAAGTTGAAATAGCTTACCAGATATATACATAAATCTTTGCATCCACATCAAGAACATGTAATATGTTCGTAAGTTTAAATTGAAACGAACAGTATTTCGATGCAAGCAGACGCTGTATTTATAAGCACGATATCTTGAATCATTATATGCGGAAAACAATATATACAAACATAAATTAAAAAAGAAGATTAGGAAGTCTCTCCTATATATATATATTAATTCGCTTCCAGGGGTCGCACACCTGAATGGTACAACAAGAGCTACGGGCACATCGCCGCTCTTCACCTGAGCAAAATTCGCAACTCCTTCAAGCACACCACCGATGGGCCCGAGAGTAAAGTTTGAGAAAAGGCCACCGTGCAATGCGAATCGTTGCACGGTTCCTCCTCCTCTTCTTCCTCCGCTTTCTCTTCTGCCGATTCCGGCGAGCAGCAGCAGCAACAGGAGCGCAGGATCCTAATGGACACGCTGCAGGTCCAGCCTACCATCGACGAGGAATAATCTCGATCGGTCGCGCTATCAGTACCAAAACCCATCGATGTCGTAGTTAGCTTCGTTCAGCGACCGGTTCTGAACTTTCGAGATAAGCATCCCCGATCTTATCGTAGCGATAGAAGAATCCCCCCGTGTGACGTTTACTGTCCAAAGATCTTGCCGTCCGTTTGTCATGAAAGTCGCGAGACAGGATGCCGCGAGAGAAAGAGACGTAGAGAAAAAGAGAACGGGACGATCATTCGGCAAATTCGATAACGAAGGTGGCTTGCGTGCATCTCGATAAATCGGCTATTTTCAGGATTCGAAGGACGACCCGTTATTTTTGCACTTCGTGTTCCGATGTCGTTGTTGTTGTTCGAGAGTTTATGAAATTTTATCAACCCACACCTTATTCCTTACCTTAATCCCCCATCGCGCCGCACGATCCGTGAAGTCGCATCTCGGTTCCGTCGGTCTGATCGAAACGGGATTTTCAGAGATCGACGAGCGGCCAGGAGGCGCAATCCTAAACGATAGACGTCATTCTGTGTTTTCGACGGCTATGCGTATGTGTTTCCCGCAAGGATTTTATCAGTACCATAGCAACCTCGTGTCTATGATAAAACAAAAATAAAATAGAAAAATATGCAAGAGCACGACTAAGGTAAGAGACGACGACGACGATGATGATAATATTAACAAATTATTTCCGTGATAATTTACGCGTTGAGAGTTCCTGATCGATGCACTGGCAGTTATTTCTCGTTTCGGTATTTTCATTAGAATAATCGCGACAACCGAATTGTTCTCTCTTTTTATTTTACATTTTTCATGCATATTTTCGTATGACGTGTCGAAGTTTTTTTTATCTAATCCAGAGCTATTTTCTCGTTTTATTGAACACCAAATATCTTTTTCATATCATATCGCCGGTGGCATTTAAAAAAAGAGGGAATCCGATTTTTATCGTCATAAAATCTCGTGTAGATATCGCGGATTCAAGTGACAAAATGCCACGCGGCCGGCTGCAGCGACAACTGTTTTTAGCCGTAAACAGCGAAGCCGTGTCTCTGAGCTGACGATGTCCGCAACCGACATCCGCGCATGTTCTTTTGTAACAAAGATGTTGACCGTTAAATGTTCCCGTTCAGCGCCTAAAGCGGGACGTATAGCCTAGATACGGAACTGTCTGAGTACACACATACACATATACATACATACACATACACACGCATACATATATACACTCAAGATTCACGCATTTCATGTTTCGTTCGGACCAAAAATGCCAATTTTTCTATGGTATATAGCCATAACACGTTAAGGTAGTTGACACATTCGTCGGTTGAGGGATCTTCCTCTTCCATAAATGTTGCACGTAGACGGACGAATATGTAAATGTCGCGCACACGCATGTACACGTGTGTCTATTTATAAGCGTGCTTTTATAGGCGCGCGCGCGCGCGCTCACATTTGTCGCGCATTGTGAAAGAGGGAACCGCGCGCCGGTTTACTCGCGATGATTGCGCGAAGCACTGTTTCGCCTTTCGAATTATTATGAGAGAAAACAAAAACATATAGCAATGATATAACGAAGCGAAAATAACTTGTGGCCGTAACTTTTCGAAAATATCATTTCCTTTCTTCTCCGCGATCCAGATCGACGTCGAATATTTTTACCCGGCCTTTCACCAGCCGGACTCGCAGTCGTCGGTGCATTCAGTTGATCTTTAGTTTCACTTTTTTTTTAATTTGCATAAATACCTTTCAGTGTTAAGAGATCATTCTATGCGCACATGTAGAGGAAAAATAAAAGCGCGATTCTGTATAAAATGAGGCAGTGCCTCTGTGCAAGTCTGCTTTCAATTATCATAGATTTATCGCCGCGGCCGCAATCGACGTGGCCGCGCGAGCAATGCGAAAGGATTTTGAGTAAAGCGTAAGTTTCCAAAATCTCGTTGTTTCGTCGCGCGAGTGGCGGCCAACGCCACTCGGCGCGAGCAATTTTATCACTGTTACTCGTGTCGATGTTAAGAGTTAAGATACCGATAATAATACAAAAGAAGAAAAAAAAGAAACAAACAAAGAACCCTGTTTTCGCTGTATGTTCGGAATCATCGCCGCGCGGGCCGACTGATCGCGCTCGCGAATTTAGGACACGCGTTTCTAGAACGCTTAATCGTTCAGCATGTTCGTGTGCAACAATTACCATAGGGACCACCTTCGTTCGGACCCCAGAACAGGAAGTAACCTGCGCATGATGCACCTCATCGAATCGAATTCTATAAATGTATTTTAACGTAATACTAGTCACTTACATTAGCGGAGAGTTGTCGGTTATAATGGTATAAAAGAGAGTACCATAGATTTTTATTCTATACACAGCGTCGTTGCGTCGAAGATATTTAAAATATATTATTGATCACAATTGCTACTATATATACATATACATATATATGTGTATATATATATATATATATATGTGTGTGTGTACGTATATATGTATATCTATGTATGTATATATATATATATATATATATATATATATATATATATATATATCGACGTTAAACAATCACACACAAACAACACACATACGCAAATATATCATATTTTTGTGTCCAAAACGCCAGTAGGAGCGCGACGACCGAGTGCGAGTGTGTCGTTGGCGTTTCCTCGTATTTGTAACGATATATGAACGTCTTTATTCTTGTAATCCGTGTTCCATTAGAATGTAAATATGTATATTATATAATAATGAACAGTTATATACTCATTAAGCCATGTGTGTGCCTTTTCTTTTATTGTTTCATTCCCGTCTCTCCCTCTTTTATCAGCACCTGCTTAAGAGGATATCATATTTGAAAACTTTACCGACACTAATATTTTCAAGGTTTACGTAGTATCGGTCGCACAAAATTATAAATAACACAGAGAGTCTTTTACTGGTTTGACCAACATACGAACATACATTTTTGCAATAATAAATTATCAGGAATGATTCGTGTGCATAAAGACAGGTTGCTTCCTGGTTTCCATAATAACGTGTATAAATTGCAATGCAGTAGTTGTGAGGCGTCGTATGTTGGTCAAACCAGTAGAAGACTCTCTACGCGCATTGCTGAGCATAGAAGAATACCAAGGAGTTCTACAGTTGAGTTAACGGCCATACAAGAACACTGTTTGAGGGAAAACCATGATTTCAATTGGGATCAAGCCAAAGTTTTACATGAGGAACGTTATTACTTGAAACGCCTGGTATCAGAAATGATTTACATTAAATTTCAAAAACATGGACTTAACTCTCAAAAAGACACAGAATATTTGGACAACAGCTACTGCGGCTTATTATGAAAATAAAACCTTGTTTGTTTCCTTCTCTTCCAAGAGTCGTCGCAATGTTAATGCTCGTGTATATAAGTCTGTTATTATCTCTTTTACTTAGACGTGGCGATGTTATCGTTGACAGGATCGTTTCACTTTTAGCTGAACTCAACGAAGTTAATTTATATTGACCGTTTTAATTATTTATTATATTTTAATCTTACCTATTTTTATTTTATTTTATAGGTTTTTTATAGTTATGGCTACTTCCTAGTATTAATTTGAACTTCTTAATATTAGTCAGGTAACGGTCTTGTCAGCTATAATACTGCGAATAACATTCATGTCATTTTATTAAGGTCTTTAATTAATTCTTTTACTTGTAATACGTTCGTTTTGTAAACCTTGAGTTTTTTTATATCACTGAAGAGGGTTCATGATTGAGCCGAAACGTTTGATTATTTATATTGAGTATTCATGTTCAATAAGTATTGCTCTATTTCCTAACACAAGGAAGGTTTTACCCATATGGTACATAGCACTATTAATCCTGTGCTTGAACTCGAATTAGCCCTTTTTCCTATTATTTAATTGATATCATTGTTATTGAGTTCTTATTTTCTTACTCTTAATTTTTATATCGTATTAAATACGATATACTATCTCTTCGGAGATATTTTCTTATACATATGCGTTTGTTGTTGACAAGACGACAAATTAAATTTCGACAAAGTAAAGACAACAAATTAAATTATTAAGCCGAGACTCGAACCAAAATGTTTCGATTTCCCGCTAAATTATTAAACCGAGATTCAAACCGAACTGTTTTGAGATTCCGCTAAATTATTAATCCGAGATTCAAATCGATTTGTTTTAAAATAAGTCGAACGACTCGAACAACAACGATTTGAAAATCACATGTTCTTTTTAGAAATAGGAATATCTATATAATTATTTTATATCGTGTGTTTATTCAAGTTGTCACATTAGTGTCATTTGTCACTATAATATAACAATCTGAATAACATGACATGAAATTATGAATAAAACTCATACTGACAGCCTTTCGCACGTTCTGACGGCTAGTCGTGTTTTCATATTGTTTAATCGATAACACTCGTTACCACGGACAATGCATCCCAACATTCAGACTGTTTTTATCAGGTGAACACACACGGATGGATGTTTAGTATCTCGTGACTGTCGATTCACTTGACCCGGAATTTTTACTCTTGGACGCATAATCGAATTATCAGCCATAATATCAGTCATCGCGTCGTCTCGGAAAATCACGAGATAGCGGAAATATTTCCATATTGCACGTCGGTTCGACAACGTGGTAATTTGTATTCGCATTGAAAGCTTCTCAAACCTCCCGGGAGAATGGTGAGACTGCATGTGAAGAAGGGTGACGAGAGCCAATTTTTGTATGACACCCACGTGGAGGCGAATGTAGGCGATGTCACACGTGATATCGTGGTGATTTACAACGGTCGTCTGAAGATTTCAAGGATCTGTTACGGTAAATGTTGCCTTTGTGCGAATAGTTGGCATTTTACATAGTGATTTCACAATGTCATAAAAATATTAAAACCAAACAGGAGCTTTATAAGATTTACGTCGATTGTAATATTTTCAAAAAAAGAAAAGAGAGAAGAGACCATATAATTATATATTCCTACGTATTTAAATAATAAATATTGAGCAAATAAGTTTTGTCTTTTGATATAGAATTGGTCGTAATGCAAGAAGAATCCAACCTACATTGAATGAAGTTTCGAGAAAATGGAGATAAAAATTTGATATATGATTTATAAAATATAGCACGGTCAATTTTCTTCTGCTTAAGAATACTCTTTGACAAACTTAATCCTTAAAAATAGATAAAAGAGATGCAACTACTAGTAAAAAAATAGCGCAAGTACAAGTATAGTAGAAAATAAAGACTGTTGTATAATTAATTTTAGACGCTCATAAAGTGTGGATCGTTTTATATTAAAAAATATATAGACTATCGATTGGTAACAAAAACTCAAAACTTATCATTTTATGGGTTAGTTGTGGATCATACCTGCATAACTGTGGCCAAAATATACTTGAAAACTACGAAAGAGAGTACTGAAATGTGTACAATCTTGATCGACTTTTACATACTTGTAATATTATAATTACGTAAAGCAGGATATCCACGTGTATCTGTAGTATTATTAAGTATAATTAACCAACACAGACGGAGACGGAGTACATAACAAGTCGTAACGGTGACGAGGACAATGCCAATTACTTTTTATTTACGATACGAGGCGCGCCGGGTTCCGGCTCGCAGTCGGAATATTAACGCGAGAAATCCATTAGCGATTATCTCTCTTCGGGGCGCACACATGACTCGTAATAGCAGCGTGTAATAAGAAGTCGAGGCCCTGAGTTTATGAACCCATCCATCCTCGGCGCCATGTGATATTAGTCACACGTCGCGCGGGATAATAATTATACCGACTTGTACTTGACCAGAGAAACGCTTGCCCTCTCGTTTTGCCCACTCTCTTCTCTCTCTCATGAGCGTTTCTCTCTATCTTCCTGGTACGAAAAACAGAGATCGAGGAACTGGCCAAGCACGGACCGATGCTACCCCCTGACATTATGGGTCTCACGGACGAACAGGTCCAAGAGCTCAAACTCAAGGACGAATGGGCTGACAAGTGTGTGCCTATGGGCGGCTGGACTTTTAACAAAGACCAGATCGGTACGTGAAATAGTTTACATGCCTATATAAGGATAATAATAAACTTTTATGAGAAATGTAAGCAGCTTATGATAATAGAAAATTAAGTATATGCAAAAAGTGATCAGAAAAAAGGGTTCAAGCTTACAAAATAGGTAATACTTATTATAATGTGGATTATAATGATAGGAATGTGTATTATACGTAAGCTCTTATTCTGAACAGTCTTCTATTGATAAAAGTGCTTCTAAATGGATCATAAGCTTTCTGATTGGCTTTCAATTATATTTCGATGCACTTTTATCAATAAAAGAGAATTCAAAATGAGGATTTGTGTGTTTTAAGATCGTAAAATTCAGAAAACTTAAATAAAGCGGCTTAAAAAAAACGCGTTATAGAAATAATCAAATCAAAAACTTTTGTTATTCTGAAAGAGTTGATTTCTTTGATCTATGTTTGTTAAACATTTTTTATTAAATATAATGAGTACTATCTACTCAGTAAGTCTCAAATTTCTTTTATATACCCTGTACATTTTCATTAAAGAAATGAGTATTAATGCAAAGTTTTATTAACGTGACGTGTGTGAGGAAAATCAAGACCTTTAGATTTAAATTTAAATACCCACAGGTCGTAGAAACGGCAGACAGCCCAATGAGAAAATGCAGGAAATGCTGAAGAAAACCATTGAGGACGCACGTGCCATGACATCAAAAGTAAACGCAATTCAATCTGTTGCGTAATCTCTTTTTTTCCTTTTCTTTCTCAGTTCATAAATTTCTTAACACTATTTCACTTGGTCGCAGAAATTAGTGCAGCAAGAGAAACTGGTCACACAGAAGATAATCCAAGAGGCTCTAGACATATTAAGAGGTGCTGTGACGATCGTTTATCCGATGGGACTTCCGCCACATGATGTGATACGTCAGGAATTTGAGAATGCCGAAGATCTCTCTGGCACTCAGGCGTCTCTCGAGGTATACGTATGTCCTTATTCTGAAGTCTCTTTTATCGATAAAAGTGCTTCTAAATGTGGCTTATAAACTTTCTGATTGGTTTTCAATCACATTTTTAAAGGCATTTTTATGAATAAAAGAGAGTTCAAAATAAAGGCTCGTATGTTTTAAAATTAAAAAATTGAGCTAACATTCAAAAAACTTAAATAAAGGCGACTTAAAAATGTAAAAGTTTTCAAAGATATTTTAATACATCAAAGGAAGTTCAGTGAACGTTTAAAGGAAATATATTTTAAATATTTAATGTAAGGAAATATTATATATTTTAAATATTTAATGTAAGGAAATATATTTTAAATAATTAAAGTTTAAATATTTAAACATTGAAAAATTTAAAAATAGAAAGAAACAAAAGCCAAAGAAAACTTTTTTTAGATATTTGCGTTACTCACGAAGATATAATGTAAGTTATGAAGATCGGTGACATCTCTCCTCGTTAATGTTTGAGAAAATATTTATGTCGCAGGTAATCGATGAGCAATTGGCTCAGCTGTGGTTTTCCGGCAAGGAGTTAATACCGGGGAAGAAGATGAAGGATTTCCTGGGTAATAACGAGAAGACCAAGGTAATCGTGAAGCTGCAGAAGAGAGGATCCGGTAGACCGGCGAGGGAGCCCTTAATGTCGGAAGACGAGCGGAAACAATTGATGTTGCACGCGTATCGCCGTCAGGAACAGCTCAAGGTAAGTGGCTTTGCATGCGCGCCGATTAGGGTTTGGCGATATTGCATCGATCGGCGATTGGCAACTTACGTTATATTTTCGTGAATAACGCAAATATTTAAAAGAAGCTGTTTTCTTTGGCTTTTGATTCTTTTTACTTTTAATTTTTTCAATGTTTAAATATTTAAAAATGTATTCTCTTCAAACGTCCGCAGAACATCCTTTGATGTATCAGAATATCTTTGAAAACTTTTACAACATTTTTAAGTCATCTTTATTTAAATTTTCTGAATGTAAGCTCAATTTTTTAATTTTAAAACACACGAACCCTTATTCTAAACTCTCTTTTGTTGATAAAAATGTCTCTAAAAAATGTGATGTGTTAGAAAGTTTATAAGCCACATTTAGAAGCACTACGATATTGGAATCGACGTTTGAATAATCAATTGAGAATTTAGTCTCTCATAAATATTTAATATCCACTAAATTATCACTATTAATAATATTCAATTTATACAATTTATACAAATCTGCTAATAAAGGAGAGACAAAGAAAGATTCCCTCTTTTGAGTTCGCACTATAGTTGAAAGTGAAATATTTCTTAATATATTTTCGAGTGTTGTATTATTTGAAAAAAAATTGTCTGACTTTGCCATTGAGTCTACTACTACCTCATTTTACATCCATGATTTGGCAGTAGAAGCTTCCAAAGTCGAAATTGCAATTTGCGTAATTATAACCGTCCGGAAAATTTGGTAATTATTATTTTTTCTGCTTAGAAGATTCAACAGAAACATTACATAAGAAAAATCGATATGATTGAATATTTTCGGTAAAAAATGATACATTTTTTAATTATATTGAAAGACATGTGTATCTAAATAAATATTTAAAGTAACTTACGCGATATAAAACGAAAGAGAGAGAAGTTGATAATTTTTTTATGTGAGTTGAAATGTAAAAATTAAAATTTTCAATAGAAGTAATAAAGTCATATAGTATTTCAAAGAAATTTGTATAAATTTCTATCAATTATTGCCGGATATTTTGAGTAGAGTTATAATTTGAGCTCTCATAGATGCGAAATGTTTTAAGAAAATTAATTTGTCGCAATTTTCCTCTATGGAACGTGTTTCATCGTTGATTAGGCGATCACAGTTCGTGACTGACAACTTCCCAAAATATATAAATAGAAAAATTTTTAAGAAAAACTGGTCACTAGCCAGGAACTGATTAGTTTTTACCGGTTAGGATTTATTAGATAGTAACTGTTTAGAAAGTGGACAGAAAAATACTCATCAGTATTTCTTGACCTGTTACTGGCCAGTGTTATTTGATCAGTTATTGGCCAGAAATTAAGTAAGAAAAAATAGCAATTAAATATAAAGCTAAAAATATATTTCAATAAAAAATGAATTTACACGTGAAAAGACTACCTTCAAAAATATTTTTTCAAGTTTAGCGTTATATGACGCTTATGTCTTTAATATCGGTGGAAGGTGATGTCAAGACTTTAGATCCACTTAAACGCAATTAACAGATTACCGCCATCAAGCGGTGTCGCTGGAAGATCCGTTATGTTCTACGAATTTCAATTTACAGCAGTAGATACGGCAGTATACGAGTACGACTCAACGGTAGATCAGAAGGATTTCATTTTCGCATAATACAACACTCGATGATCAGGTGAATTCCTTATTGTTTAGTAACGTTAGTCGGAAAAACTTTTGTCTCTCTTTCTCTTTCTCTCTTTATGTTTACCAACAAGCAACAAATCTGTTCCACAAATATCCGGCAATAAATTATATTACTAAGAAACGAATATCCGAACAAGACAAGTTCTGAAGCAACTCAAAAAGGTTGTAATGCGGACGTCATGTGCTTTCTAAAGTTTTTAGTAATGAAAATTACAAATTGAGAAAGCAGTATTGACATATTAATCGAATTTGGAAATATCCGAAAGATCCTTTAACAAAAGAAGGAAAACAGAATTGAACGTGATTCGTTGATCGTGTATCTCTCATCTCTAGTTGATGAGGATCATTGGGTCTGTTTTCTATTACTGAACTAGTGTACACTTTCGGAATTTAAAAAAGAGACAGATATACAGATGAAATTTGATGAAAGAAAGATGAGAGAGAACTGGGGCAGCCAGTTCAGCAAAAGAGAAGAGGCCCTCTGCCTCGGATTGATTCATTTGGAAGAGAAAGTATAATTGTCGTCGATAATAGAATGTAACAATCGAGGTAATGTGAGCCAATGTACTTCGTTGATCCCAAACTTGCATATGAGTATCATGATAGGTAATGTTAACTTTATCAACAAGCGGTGGTCTCCGCATTCGACGCGTTCTGCCTTATCGTCCAGTACCCATTAAAAAATCAATAGACACGTGCGAGGTAGAAGTAGAGAGAAGGAATAATATAAGAACACCCTCAAAGAGATGCGGTCATTCTCTCACCCGTTATAAACAGAAGCCTTCAACTGTTTCGTTTGACATATATCTCGATTAATCGCGGTGTGTATTTCGAGAGAATGGATCGATTTGACTACCTGTGAAGCATTCTAGAGCGAGAACACGCCTCTAAGCCGTCTCCATTGATTCGTGTGTTTAGAAAAAGATAGCACATGCTTATCGATTGCACGCGTGTCCTTTGTACGCTCTGTTCAAGGTAGGGTCGCTCATTTCGGAAACAGTTCGCGTGGTTGTTTAAGCCGATACAGATCTCGCGGGCCATCTTACGCCGACACGTGCCTTCCTCGCTTGCATATTTTCTCCTGGACGAATAACCCGGCTCTTTTAAAGCGTTAGATGAATATATACATGATTTTATGCTCCCTAATCTAATCATGGTCTAATTTAAGGCTTCTGGCTATTCACCTGGAAACCCTGGATTTATAACGGCTGAAGCGTATATCCACAATTCTTGAGTGCTATTTTCAAATAAAAAGATATTTGTATGAAAGAACACTTCTGATTGTTTAACCGCGTAGAACTTTAAAATTTATCCAGATCAGCTTTTCAAACGTTTCTAGATAGCACAAATGTCTAAAATGAGTCTTAGGGATATCATAAAAATCAAGTAAAATATCTTTCAGAAGTATCTTCTGAACATTTATGCCATATAGGTTAAAAACATGTTTTATTATTTTACTATAATCTTGTTCAACTTCACTGAATCGTAAAAACATTAATAGATTCATATTCCTTGATGTTTCCTACACCAATTAAAAGAAAAGTATTGAATTTCGATCATTTTTCCAGAAATTATAAGCAAATGAAAATACGCTGAGTAAGATTTATCCATGTTTAGGGTTTACATAACTTTTTATGGTTTTCTAGAGTTAAGCATTATAAAATGAAAACTATCCTTTTCTTTTAAAAATCAATAAATAATTACAATGTAACATGTAATCTTCCTCTTTGATCAACTTTCTCTTATGATTTTGCCACGTTAATTTTATAGCTTTTTATTAACTATCAAGGGAAAAGGATAGTTTTCTAAGTATGCTCAAGCAATCTGAAATTTTCTTTCATACAAGTTTCCTTTTTTTTGGAAATAACATGCAAGAATTTTTAACTTATTATTACTCGCTTCTGACATCACAGATATATGGCCATGGTGAGTATCTAGCAGTCTTAAACGCATTATTTTGACAAGAAAGATATGAAAAATCACGTTGCGATGTGATATCGATTTTGGAAGTGCAACGTTGGAGTTTAAAGCTTTCGCTGATAGGATTTCGCAATCTATTTTTGCTGTAGTTTTTCTAACATTAAGAGACATATTTTGTGGGATGCGTGAATATCTTTCTCGAAAATAGTAATAGGTACGCTAGTCTTTTCAAACTGGCCGCTCAAACGTTTATAATGGTATTTCGCTAAAGGTTAACCGACCAAATTGCCAAAGATTCGTTTTGCTTCCTTTCACATCATTTCTTTAAGGGAACTTTGAGCTTGATCGAGCTTGATCGAGCGTGCAAAATATACATTGTGACAAAAGTTGATAAAATACATTGAACACAGTCTATCTTATAAAATTTATGGAATTTCTCTTATATCTCACAGAATATAAACAAACGAATTAATGGAACTGTCTTTTTAGTGAAAATACGATACTTTCACCAAAAGTATTACGTCCTCGAGAAAATAATATTAAGGCTTCTGGCTACTCGCCGTGGAACTCTTGATTAATGATGTCAGAAACGAGAAAACACACATACTCAAAGTTCCTGCAAAATACTATAAAGATAGAAATAAAGAAGTATATCTATAAAATAACACTTGCAATTGATCGAACAGATGTATAAAATCGTCCAAAATTTTCTTCTGCTCTAATGAACAATCGTAAAATTAACACGTAACCTTTCTCTTTAACCTTTTATCATGTTGAATTACGGTTATTTACTGATTGTTAGCATAAAAGGAATATGTTCAAATTATTTTACAAGGTTTTTCATAAAGTACCATTTTGTGAACATATCTTCTAATTTCTACGTATCTTTTGCAAAAATTTTGAGAGTGTGCTTCCTGGTCATAAATAAAAATGGCCGCAGTAAATAACCTGAAGAGTAAAGAGTTTGAAAAAAAATATATAATAGTATAACAATGACACAATCACAATATATTCATTATATATCTTTTATTAATTATTATAGAGTAATATTAATTTATTTGCTAGTAATGATGTATATAACAATAATAACATCTAGCTATATATTTTCGTGAATCCTATTTGCCAAGTATAATTACTGAGCTATGTACTTAACTCCCGCGGGTGTTCCATCTGATCGTGCTGTCGTGTATTCGCAACAGCAGGGAAAACAGTACTACGTTACCCGAGACATTCCAGCAATTCGTTGCTTCATCGAAGCTATTGATCGCGCATCGCTCGACGGAATAGAGACTAACGCCGTTTCATTAGTCCGCGAAATTAATTGTTTGAAAATAATTTGTGCACGTCTACCTTGAAAAGACGTATTCCTGTTAGGTGTCTTCACGTTTATCTTAGCACGTCCCACGTGGCAAATTGCATCTATGAATCTTCATCAGGTTTCTGTTTGTCTCCCTCGGGAAATCGAAACGGACATGTGTTATTTTGGTCGGAAAAAAAAGTTTGATTGGATTAATCAAATATCTGGTGAAATATGAATGAGCCGGAATTCCGATTGAAGTTATCAGAAAATGCTTTTCAAGTTAACAAATTAATAAATTCATCTCAGGTTAACCAGAAACTCTTGTTTTATTAACTAGAATCTTATTAATTTGAGAAGAATTCTGGTAACTTCAAATGGAATTCTGCTTTGTACATATTTCAGACATTTGATTAATCCAACCAAACTTTTTTCCGTTTACAACTCCTCTTTCACTTTGTTCGATCGCTTGCTCAACGCCAACGTCCCTCAACGTTTTCCCTCCCAAAAGAACGAAGGCAGAATTTCTATCGTGTCATTTCGTCTCGGCATCTCTGGAGGTCGCGAGGGTTGGTATTTCGTTCAGCGTTGGCGATCGATTTTTCCCCGATTCATATAGGAAACGCGTTTACGACGTTAAGTGACGCGACAAATACACACTATCCAGTTTTCCAAGCTATTTCGTCGGCACGTTTCACTGTCATATAAAAAAAAATATATTGGTTGTAACGTTCTTCACGAATATAACTTATTGTTGTACACAAATAAGTGGCGCGTAATGTATCAATAGTGAATTGCTATTTTCCAGCAATGAATTAATGACGAGATGGAAGAATGTACTCTTTTATTTATACAACATGTCCGGTAACTCACGGAGGAGTCGTGATGTAGATAGATTAAATCAAACTGAACCAAAAATTCCTCTACCATCTTGCGAACAATCACGTAAAATTTTGAGTTATTAATCCAAGAAGACTCGTGAATGATCACGCGCTATACGGTAGATATGTTGTGATGCGACGTTTACAACTGTATGCTTGTATATTAGGTCAAATAGAACAAAAAAGTCCTCTCTACTGTTTTTCAAATGACCACGTGTTTAGTTACTAATTAAAGAAGATTGGTACATTATCGTGCGTAACTGTACACTATAAGTACATATAAGTAATAACAAAAAAGGAAAATTAACCGCTTTCAAACATCTCAAAAGCCTTAATAAATATGAAACAATTTTGTATATTTATACAATTACAATATTCCTACAACTTTATTTTAATGATTTCATATTTCAAGGCTTCTGAGGTTTTTGAAAGTAATCCATTTTTTAAAGTTTTTTATTTTATATTTTCTAATTATTTACTAACACTTTTGATTTTGGAATCAAATAAGAAAAATTTTCTTAAAGTTGGTTAAAAATTAAAGTTTCACCTTGTATTTCAAGATGTTTTTGTCAAGGCATGAAATGAAATGAAATTAATTAATTAATAACTAAGCATAACTAAGTATAACTAATGATATTACGTGATTATTTAGAAAATGGACTTCTTTGTTCTGTTTAACTCAATCTATCTGTATACCGCGACTCCTTCGTGAGTTACCGGACACCCTATATATTGTGAGAACATCAGAACTTTCCTTTTGTTCTTCGTGACATGCGACTCTTTCGTGATCGTGTCTCGATTTTCATGTGATTTGCCGATTGGCCGTCTTGTCATGTGACACGCAGTAAAACGACTGATGTCTCGGCTAAAGGTTTTCATTACTTAGTCACGTGTGTTTACGTTCGTCTTCTCACGAGATCGTATCGATCCACAAATTCTGACGTGTCGGTGCGTAAGTAAGGAACGCTGTATTTCGTCTCTCTCTCTCTCTCT